TAATCGGGATGGGTGTGTCAGAGGTGGTGTGGTTGGCGCAGGATAGAGCAGGGTTTAGGGCTGTTGTGCATAGGGTCGCTATGAGTCGGAAACGAATCGATGGCACATAACAACAACAACAACATGTGCTACTTCAGTGTCACCCAATTCTTTTTGGAACAGTGACACTCTGTATCCCTTCCATCTTCTTTTGATGCTTTTTGCATCCTTCAGTATTTTTCCCAATGAATCCTTCAGTATTGTTCTTCTGGTCTTTCAGATTGAGAAATGCCCAAGTGTTTCTTCCCTTTTTGTTTCTTAACACCCGCTCTTTCATTGTAATACTTTGCTATTTAATCAGACAGTGATAGGCTCCATTTTGACAGGAATGACACATTGAAGAGGAATAGTGTCACATTAATTGTTAAAAAGAACATTTTAGGATCTATACTGAAGTACAATGTTGAGTGTAATACTAGCCAGACACATACAAAGAAGACCTGTTAGTACAATGTTATTCAGATGTACGCATCAGCTACTAAAGCCAAAAACAAAGAACTTGAGGATGTTTCCCCAAAACAAAGGGAAGAAATGCAGAAGTAAAAGAGCTAAGTAGAAGAATTCAGAAGGCAGCTTGTGAAGACAGGAAGCAAGATATTACAGAGGTATGGCACAAGCAAATGTTAGGAAGTAAAGAAATGAAAGTGTGCAAAATTTGTTAACAATATTCACTATGCTTGCTCTGACCTTTTGGCTCTGAACTTCCATGCAAGCAAGACAAAGAATGAGCACATTTAGGGGCATGAGTAAAAATAGTTTATTCAGAATAACAGCTTTTGTTGGTGTTGAGGTTAGAGAGGATTTTCCTCTTTGGGCCCATTAAGAGGAAATTGTGTGGTATGAACAATGTTATCAACAACTTCCTTGAAGCTTTAATATTCCTGACAGCCATTCATTTCTAAGGATAGTTACTCTTATAGCTACTTCACTTTTCTCCTTGCTGGACCCCAGCAACTCCAGGAATTCCATTCCTAATTAATGCCACTTCTCAGGGTGGTTACAAGTGAGTTGGATTTTCTGGAGCTGGCCCAGGATATGTGTATTCCTGTGCCAGCAAAATCTCAGGCTCTAGTCTAGGGGCATGGGAGAAGGGAAGGTAGAGCTCCCTTGTTCAAATAATGAACAATTGTACTAACAGGTCATCCTTGTATGTGTCTGGCTAGTATCACACCAGGTCTTTGAACCAGTACACAGGTGAGAAAACTCAGCTGTGCTCTGCATCAGACTGGCAGGGCCCGGCTCAACTCTTTGTTTGACTTATTCCTGCAACAAGTGATTGGGTCACTAGCCTTAGGAGCCGTGGTGGTGAAGTGCTTGGCTGCTAGCTGAAAGATTTGTGGTTCAGACTCTGGTGGCTCCGAGGGACGAAGATCTGGAATTTTGCTTCTATAAAGAAGATTAAAGCTTTGGAAATCCCATGGCGCAGAATTTTACTCTATCCTGTAGGATTGCCGAATCAAAACAGACAACATGTCAATGGGTCTGTTTTTTTTGCATTGTGTTGTTTTGTTTTAGTCTAAAGATGGAGCCCTGGTCGTGTGTACAGTTAGCTAAGTACTCAGCTGCTAACTCAGATGTCCACAGTTCAGACTCACCCACAGATCTTCAAGAGAAAAGACCTGGTAATCCACTCTTGTAGAGTTATAGGAAACCCTGCCATTTGGTCTCTGTCTAATACCAAGTAATGCGATTATAAACAAGATGATTGTTGTTCATTGTCATGGAGCCAGCACTGATGCATAGCTGACCCTGTGGTGTGGGTTTTCTGAGGCTGTAAATCACACAGGAAGAGATTGCCTGTGTTTTTCCAATTAAGTAGCTCGTTCAAACCACTTGTTTTTGGTTTACAGCTCAACTCCTTACTGGGCCAGTAGAATTAGCAGATGTTAATCCAAAGATTATTTAACCTTTTGTAATCAAGTTTTAGGGAGATTTCTATCCCTGGGTAGTACACATAGTTAATGTGCTTGACTACTAATCGCGAATTTGGAGGTTTGTGTCCACCCAGAGGCACACAGAAGAAATACCTGGCTGTTTCTTGTTAGATGTTGTTGAGTCAGGTATGACTCATAGAGACTTAAGAACTGTGGCTCTGTACCCTTCCCTATCTGGTGTCATCCTCATCATCTCTGACATACTTGAGCCCACTGTTAAAGTCACATGGGAACACATTTCATTGAAAGTCTTTCGCTGACCCCCTACCCTTCCAAGTTTTATGTCCTTTTCCAAAGATTGGCCCCTCCTATCATCATGCCCAAAATAATGTGAGACAACTTTGCTGTCCTTGCCTCCGATGATGCCTGGCTGGCTGCTTCTAGAAAGGCATCTTCACACCCTATGGAGCAGTTACACACTGACACACCAGGGTTTGCCATGAGTCAGAATTAACACAACCTGATCCCACGTGGTTATACAGCAGTCAAACTCTTTATTTCCTTTTATTAACAGTTTCAAAGTCCTACTTTACTTCATTTCCCAAGGGAGAAACAAGTGGAAGAATAGCCCAGACCCTTAACACATGGAAATTTTGGGTGACTCTTATGGAGGTACATACCTGGCAGCTAATTAACCAAGTAGAAGGAAATAAACCTAGTTTAAGTTTCAAGGATTTCCTCAGCACATTATTTTCACATTGAGCCCTGGTAATACTGAGGTTAACATGTTCAACTGCTAGGGAGCCCTGGTGGCCTAGTCGTATGAAGCGCTATAATCAAGAGGGCATGTGGTTCAAATCTACCAGCTGCTCTGTGGCAGAAGGATGAACAATCTCCTAAGCAATTAACACGTTGTCGCACACTTTTAAATTGACGACCATGCTTAGAAACACATTTTTTAGCTGTCATTTGTGGCAACATGTTAACTGACTCTGAAAATGCTCTTGGGGTCAGCTATGGGTTGGTGCTGACTTGAAGGCACACAACTACCACCAAAAGGTCAGCGGTTTGAACCCCCTAGTGCCTCCATAGCAATATGCTTCCACAGAGATGGAAAACCCTGTGGGCATTTCACCTCTGTCCTATATGGTTTGTGTGAGCCAGAATCAAATCAACAGCCATGGGTTTATCATGAGTTTATTTTCACTAGCAGTTTAATGAAAATTTTCCTTATTATATATCTAGGGAGCTCTGGTGGCTTAGTGGTAAGGAGTTGCACTGCCCAAAGGCAGGTGGTTCAAATCCACCAGCTGCTCCCCAGGAGAAGGATGAGCAGTAATTAGTAGGATTTACAGCCTCTGAAAACCCAGTGGAGGGGTCAGCTAAGAGCTGGCTCCAACTCAACAGGACATAACAGTAACACTTTATGTAGGAAACTGAGTGTAAATGGTACTTTTTTTCTTTGTTTTTTACAGATTTTGAGATCCAGAGTGAAAATGGGGAGGCCTCCCACCACGATGTGTTTGGAGAATCCCATGAGATGTTTGCAGAAATGCCAGAAGAGGAGGGCATCCAGCAGTATGACTGGGAAAGTGACTTTGAGAGAGACAGTGGCTCCGTGAGGTCCCAGGGAAATGCCCCCCGTGAGGACCCTGTGGAGGCACAGCCGCAGGGAAGGGAAACTGGACAGCTCATTGGCCTGCAGGGCACCTATCTGGGTGAGAAGCCCTATGAATGTCCCCAGTGCGGGAAGGCGTTCAGCCGGAAATCCCATCTAATCACTCATGAGCGGACCCACACAGGAGAGAAATACTACAAATGCGATGAATGTGGGAAGAGCTTTAGTGATGGTTCAAACTTCAGTAGACATCAGACCACTCACACGGGGGAGAAACCATACAAGTGCAGAGACTGTGGGAAAAGCTTCAGCAGGAGTGCAAACCTCATTACTCACCAGAGGATCCACACGGGAGAGAAGCCCTTCCAGTGCGCCGAGTGCGGCAAGAGTTTCAGCAGGAGCCCCAACCTCATTGCCCACCAGCGAACCCACACGGGAGAGAAGCCATACACCTGCCCCGAGTGCGGGAAGAGTTTTGGCAACCGGTCCAGCCTTAACACACACCAGGGAATCCACACAGGGGAGAAGCCCTATGAATGTAAAGAGTGCGGTGAAAGCTTCAGCTACAACTCGAACCTCATCCGACACCAGCGCATCCACACAGGGGAGAAGCCGTACAAATGCACCGACTGCGGGCAGAGGTTCAGCCAGAGCTCGGCGCTCATCACGCACCGGAGGACTCACACGGGGGAGAAGCCCTACCAATGCGGCGAGTGCGGAAAGAGCTTCAGCCGCAGCTCCAACCTGGCCACACACCGCAGGACGCACCTGGTGGAAAAGCCCTACAAGTGTGGTGAGTGCGGCAAGAGCTTCAGCCAGAGCTCCAGCCTGATCGCACACCAGGGCATGCACACGGGCGAGAAACCCTACGAGTGCCTGACGTGTGGGGAGAGCTTCAGCTGGAGCTCCAACCTCATCAAGCACCAGCGCATCCACACGGGTGAGAAGCCCTACAAGTGCGGGCAGTGCACCAAGTGCTTCAGCCAGCGCTCGCAGCTGGTGGTGCACCAGCGGACCCACACCGGCGAGAAGCCTTACAAGTGCCTCATGTGTGGCAAGAGCTTCAGCCGGGGCTCCATTCTGGTCATGCACCAGCGAGCCCACCTGGGAGACAAGCCCTATAGGTGCCCCGAGTGTGGGAAGGGCTTCAGCTGGAATTCTGTCCTCATCATCCACCAGCGGATCCACACAGGAGAGAAGCCCTACAAGTGCCCGGCGTGTGGCAAAGGCTTCAGCAACAGCTCCAACTTCATCACACACCAGAGGACGCACGTGAAAGAAAAACTGTACTGACGGGAAGGACTCTTTGGGGTTGGGGGCACCAGCCCAGCTGAAGGAATTGATACACCTCCCAAAATGTGATCCTAACAAAAATATATCTAACATCTTAAAAAAAAAACCCTCCTTCTTTAATGCTCTTTGGGGATTTTCTCTAACAATCTTAACCCTGTCGGTCTTAATTTCTAGGATAGCTTAGTGGTCAAGCTCAAACCTCTATACAGAGTAGAGAAATAAGAAGGGGTGGGAAATTGGAAAAAGTTGGGCCTTTTTCTGTTAAACTCCACTGTTTGATTGACTCTATCTTTCCTGATTCCTCTATGCCTCAGTTTCCCTTTGGTAAATGTGGAGATGTTTCTCCATGTAAACAGAGAGATGGCTTGGTGTACAGCATGGTCTGAATCACTTACAGAAATACAGACAGTGTATTCCTGTGGTTCTGGCTGGTCTGCTACCACTTTGTTGGGCAAAGGTGCTTTGACCCGGAGCTGCTGTCATTTCTGGGCCTTGATATCAGGTCAAGTGGAGGGGCTTCTCAGATTCCACACCACCCACATGAAGGCAAAACCCCTTTCTGTTTCTAGAAAGTGCCAGGACCACAAAAATGATGAGGAAAGAGTGCCTGGGACTTGTGCCCTTTGATGAGGGTTGGGCAGGGCCTGCAGGAAAGGTACAGACCAGAGACAGTCTGGCCTTCTGTAGAGTGGCTTTGTGTCTTTACCCCCACAGATGCAGAGCCCGTGGTAATTCTTATTCTATGCAATTGTTATTTCCCTGTTCTTAGATTTTTAATTTTATACATGCAGATCTACAATTGGGAAGCTTTCTATATCTGAGGAACATTCTTTCTAAGGAAAATGCTCATTTTGAGGACACATCATAGGTCCTCTGGAGAGATTCAGGTTTTACTCAAGGTTTGTCTTAAAACAAATGTTACCCTTCTTTTGAAGGTGCCACAAGGGCCTTATGATTGGGTTTCTTGAGCCTCAAATGGTGAAGACAATTAGGTGATAGGTGAAGGGATTCACCCTCAGAGTGGAGAAGAGTAGAGTTTCTGGGAAATGTAAAACCACCTGCTTCTTCATGTGGGCCTGTGCTCAGGATGGGCCTTCGTTCCTAAGGGATGGATGCTCTACTCTGCCTAACAAAATGGAGTGCCGTTCTTCTCACGCGCCTGTGTTTTAACATACATTTGGCAATCTGAACTTGACTGTTAACAAACCTGACCTCACTTCCCCATCCCACCTTACCCACCTTCTCCAGGGCTGAAATGGTCTCAGATGTTCAGGGAGTGAGGAACAGTCACTTCAACCTCAATTTGTCCCTGGGGTCCATCCCAGCAATTCTTTTCCTCTGGTTTTGGTCACTTCCCACTCTCATTGTCCACAATGGCCTTTGCACCCTTTGTTAGGCGGTGAACTTAAGAGATCAGAGAACAAAAAAGAAAGCTTAAAAGCAGCCTTATTAGGGGAGCTCCTGGGCAAAGTTCCTTATTCTGAAGATGCAGGAGGAAGTCACACTTTGAGCATATTGGGGAGGGTTTTTATAACAGGGTCTTTAGGGAGGGAAGGGAGGGACATTCCATTGTGATTTATGGTTCATCCTTTAGTTCCCCCAGGTGGGCGAGGCCATTCACTCTGCCTATCCACATGTGTAGTCTTTGAATTCTTCATTCTCGGCCTTGACCCCTTGTCTGGACCTAACACTCTTTAGCCATTCTCAGACCCAGGCTCAGCGAGCTTCCTCTTAGAACCTGTAAACTGTCAGGGATGGGATTTTTCAGCCTCCTACTCCCAGATCAACACATGTGTTTCTGTTGCACCCTTTCACATCCTCTCACCCAGGCTCAGCCCAGATAAGTGCTTTCCATTTAATAGTAATCTCTGTACCTATAAAGTAACCTCCAGTTCTCCAGAATCAAGGCCTTGCTCCATCAACTTTTCTCTCTCTTGATTTCCTCTCTCTCCTCTACCTTCTTTCTGCAACTCAAACACCTACTAGTTACCTCCTAGAGTCTCAAACGGGGCATGTCCTGAACTCAATTCCCCACCTGCCTTACCAGGTATTTCCTGTCTTTCTGAGTACCCTCCAGTCGTTTTTGGATAATCTTCAGTAAAATCTTGCTTGCATGTGAAATCAGTGAAATTGTTCTGTAGTTTCCACATTCAGTTGGGTCGCCTTTCTTT